AATGACCCTACTGGTTCTTAATTATTCTGAATGATATATTTCAGTAGCTGTGTGAGAAAACAAATGGGTATCTATAAAAAACGATCAGTTTTAAAATATTTGTGCATACATATGTAACACCACCCTTCACCCCCTTGTTTGGGTTTGGTTGGTTGTGGGTTTCTTTCCCATCTCCGTTTCCCTCCCTTCTACATGAATATATGCTGCAGCAAAGCTTCTTTGTATCATGAAAGTAGTAATGTAATGTGGGTTTTTTTGGGGATGGCGTTTTTTTGTTCATGTCCTCTCCTGTGCTCTGCTTGCTTACTCCCATGGACACTAGGGCTATCTCTTCTGGTGCTACGAGTAGTGCCCCAGTTCTGTTGGGGAGGAACTTTGGGCTGAGGGTGTGTAAATGTGGGATACAAACATGGACTTAGCTAAGTAATGGTTTTAAATGTTGAGTTCAAATTATTCTCAACATGATTACTGTATTTTGCTTAGATTTCAGAGATTTATGGTTCACTGTATCAGCCATTTGTATGATCGCTGTCTGTTGTCAGAATTAATTGATTGATATGCATTTCAAGTACCTTAAACATTTGTTGCTCACAAGCTGTATCTCTTAGAAGTGTTTTTCAGTAATGCACTTTGGCAGTGTGCCCATCTGAAGTCTGTCATGTGTATGTGACTGCATAAGATAAGTTGAGTTGCATGGTGAGAAGAGCTTGTGCAGATGACAGTGGAAAGTTCTCTTTAGGTTTAATATTGTCTGCATCATATTTGTGCCAGTCCACTAGACGGTAACTAACACTTGCTGCTGGAGGTGTTCTTGCAAACTCGAATGCTTTCCTTAATGATGCATGAAATTTAGGATTGACCTTTTTCCTAGATACTACTTTAAAAAACATGTAGCCGTAATATTTTAGGTACATAAACTATATTATGCCAAGTGAAGACAAATATGACAAGGTAAATAAATACAGTGTAAACAATTTCTGAATGTTTGCTTGTCTTCAATAAAAGGACATTACTCTCTTTCTCCTGGACTGAGGAAAGACATCTGAAAATGGGAGGTGGCAAGAGTAATTCTGCTAGAGCAAAGAGTATTTGAAAGGCTTGTCTGGTCAGCAGCAGTTGAAAAGGTGTTTCATTTTCATGGGGAAAGTCAGAAGGCTGATAAGACATGCTGTAGTATATGTAGGCACCTCTGGCTGAATAGGAAGGTTTTACTGGAAGGTTGTTTCTACACTATGTTTGTGGGTATTCACAAATCTGGTGTTAAAAAAAGTATACTTGGTGTATTTTAGTACAATGTCCTAGGATGACTTTTTAATTTCCTTGAAGTACTTTGGATTTGTTTTTATAAAATGACCACCTCCTTGTGGAAAAGCAAACCAAAGGTGAAGGTTTAATCTCTCCTTGGGGCACCTTGGTTGATGCTTGTGTTGTTTTTTTTCTCCCCCTGCTCCATTGTTTTGTCTCTTGACTAAAAAGAGAAGTTACATACATCCCAAGTTAGTAATAAATTTTATCTTGCCTCATCTTCATCAGCCTTTTGTTTGGTATCTGTGGGATTATTGTACATGAAGTTTCACATGAAATGGATGGTAATCTGCAGCAGAGTGCTTGCTCTAAGATGAATTCATTCTCTGTGCCTACAGAAGTGAAGTTTATGAGTTTTAAACAATCCCGTCCCTTTTTGTTTGTGTATGTAAAGATTCAGAAAGTAGAAGAGATAACTAGAGTGGGAATGTGTTTTGATTCAGCAGCTGTGAATTCAACAGTGCAGCTTTTTTTTTTTCTCTCACTTCTGTTCCTTAAACTGGCATGGTAGATCTTCTATAATTACCAGAAACCTATGCCCTACAGACTTTATTTTTAGCAAGGAAAAGGTTGTAACTTGGAATTAGTTTTATAGAGTATTTGAAAACGTTGGGGTTTTTTTATCTGACTGAAGGCAAAGGTGTCGTATGGTGGGATTTGCTATTGGCCTCACAAACAGCTGTGTTAAAATGATGCTTTGTGCTTTTCTAAACAAAGGCTGAAAGGCTTTGCTTCGTGTATGATATTTGCGGTTGCTAATAGTTTATTCTCGGAGAAGTCTTTGCATACATTGAGTACTTTGAGATAGTGATAGAAGGGTTTGCAAGGGCATGCATACCTTTCTGTAATCTAATCTCAAAAGACATGTTGCTTTCACATGATGTGGTTTTGAAGGCTGTTTCTATATGTGTAAGGTTGGCAAGGTACCTGTTACTGAAGCAAAGGGTGATAAATATTAATAACATGGTATAAGGCGTACGGCAACTACAGTTTCAAGATGTAATTGAGAGATAAAAGTCTTTTCTTGCATGTGTGTATGTCATTTTCTACCAGTATGCAATAGTGTGTATAATCTGGGGGATATAAAGTGGGGAAAAACTTTGTCTTCCTTTATTGCTCAAGGCTTGTGTTTGGAAAGATTCCAAGTGTCCTGAAGGGAGGTGGGGGAAGTTAGGTACAGGATATTTCATCAATCTGGCTGTAACCATGGAACTAATTGTGGAAGAGGTTTTGATAGCAGTTTTCCTAATATTAGAGGGTTTTATCCCTCAGAAGACACTTAAAATGAGGATTTGTAATACTTCACCTATTTCCGTTTCTTTTTCTGAGTTTTCTGGGAACATGCAGGATTTGTGTGTATATCTCTTCCTGTGAACTGGAGTGTACCACAGTCATGTAACTTTCCACCTCATCTCAGTGACACAGAAATAGAAGTAGGTATGCTTGAGGAGTCCTTGGTAGTGTTCCAGCCTCGCCAATGCAGTTGCATGTTTTGCTGTACTTAATTGGTGCCTCAAAAGATTGTTATCTGAGGCTTTTTAATACTGCTCCTTGGAGACCTTTTTTTGCTATTGGGTTTATGCATGTAAAAAACTTTTTCCCAAGCTGTGTTGGAAAATCCATCTTCAGTAAAGATAAGAGCCAAGACTTACTTTGCAACTGTGTTTGATAACCATAACCATGCCAAAGATAGGGAAAAAGAAAGAGAGAGCAGAGTCCAGTTACATTATGAAGGCATCTTCTACAGGGCTTTTGAGGGTGGAGGAGCCAGGAGTGTACGACCCATCATGTCCCCACCCTCCTTTTTATTACTGTGACGCTTTGAGAATTTCTGCCACTTCTTCATTAATAGATCCTTGTAGCGTTTTGGCAGATTTGCCCATCAGATCTGGCTTTGGTTTAATCACCTGAGTTATTTAATTGTAGCTGTCTGGAGTGTGCAGGAGTTCTAAATTTTCCTAGCATTCATGCAAGACTCCACTTCTGCTGTGTAATACCTGTCTTGAAAACACCATTTTTAGGGGGACAGCTCAGAAACAACCTTTATTTAGTTTTCAGAACTTGATTTGGCCATCTACCACTCTTTTTTTTTCTTGTGGTCTAACTGCTTTTATCTTAAAACTCATCTGAAATTTTTTTCTTATATGTGCCATTTTTCATCTTCATATTCTTTACTTTCCTCAATAGTCAAACAAATATTAGTATTTTCTTTGTGTGTGTGTATGTGCACACAATGCAGTATAATAAATACCTATTTTATTAAGATGAAGGAGTTGTGATCATTTTTTTAGCTTGTAGCTGTTACACACGTTGTTTCTCATCCTTGTCACTTCCCTGTGAGATGACCAACTTGCTCTATATATAAAGCATTGCACTATGGAATAATTCAAAGATCAAAGTTTAGGTGAATGTCAACACTGTTGGGGTTCCCCGTCCCTATAAGACTCCTGATTTAGGTTTCTGTTTTTAGCTCAGAAAAACCACTGTCACAGATCCCACATTGATCAATGTTAATGTACCAGTGGACTGCTGCCAGAAGTGGTGATCAAACAGATTTATTTGTGGTGGATCTAGCTGTTATGGCCACAAGAAAAGTCACTTTGGTGAACTGAGCTAATGGAAAACTGATTAAGTTGTTCAGAAAAATATTTAAAAAAATTCAAATCAGTTGCTTCAGCTCTTTGCATCTGACTTCATGATGGATGGATCATGCAGAAAGTGCAGGGACAGTATTCTTTAGCAGCAAGCCTGCCCTTACACACAGTTAGATGTAAAGTAAAGCATTACCCTTAGGTTAGTTCTTCTGGAGAACCTCCAGCCTTCTGCCAGTAGGCTGTAATTTGTGAGCTGTTACAAGTGGACTGTGTTCTAAAGAATGCAAACATTTGAAGAAAGGCAACTTCAATGTAGTTCTGGTGTCAAGTCTGAGGTGAATTTATAAGACTACTATTGCTCAGTTATTTTCAAGAGTGAGCAAAAGGCAGTGTTTAAAGGTCTGCTTTAGTGAAGTGCGAAGTGTGATTAGGGGACTGTGCTTTTGCATTATGGGTGGTATGGTTTCAGTAGTAATGGAATCTGAACAAATCATCTTGCACTTGCTGTTTTCTAACCTTGTGCATAAAAAATGTGATTTAATAGGAGTGTTGTTAACAAGGTGTCTGTTGAAACCTGAGTGAAACAGATATTTTGATTTTCCTAAACCTGTTGGTGTAGGGAGGACCCCAGGTTAAGTTACACTGCTCTTTTGCCACCCTTTGTATCACCTTTGGTTCACAAAAGCTTCTTATTTGTGCTGGAAAATCTCACACCAGAATTGTCCTCATGTTAACTTATGTAACTTTTATTTGCTGGTTATTTTATTGAAGTAGATTCAGTGCTGTTGAACATAAACTTGAAAGAATCCCATTCCTGAAAAGTATGTTCTGATCCATGATACGAAATCAAGAGCAATGCAAAAGGCAATTGCGTGGCATCTGTTGATTACTCTGTGTTTCCTTCAGTTCAGGGTGATGTTTTCCTCAGGAATTGGATGGGTAGATTTGCAGTAACATTTTTTTTTCTCAGTTTATAAGAGGTAAAAGCGTGTTGTTGTTTTAGACAACTTTGACAAAGAGCTTCAGGATTGCAGAATATACGAATTCAGAAAAAATTACTTCTGTTTAGTTTTAACTCAAACTTGCATCTTGTTTCTTCAGGGTCACGATGAAGAAGCTGTTGTGGATATGGGCAAAATCAGCTCTACTATCAACACAAACTTTGAGAAAGAAGAACTAGAGAGTAAGTTTGTGGTGATTTTCTGTTTGCTTTCTGTACAGCTAAAAGGAATTGGAATTTTACAGCCATGATGAAATTCTGGGAATAAATCACTGAACAGCAGACAATGTGCCCTGTTTCCCTGTTTTTGTCTCTGGGCATGTTAATAAATACTCACTGTTATTCAAATCTATCACAAAAAAAACCAAACAACCCTGAAACCGAAAAAAAACCAAACAATTAAAAATGCAGGAAACTTTTTCAAGGAAAGCTTGCTTTTGAGACTGTAGGTTAGAAAAAAATGATTGCTGTCAGTAGGTCATTTCCCAGCATGAACGATGTCAGTTCTGCAGAATCAAAGCTCAGGAAATGGGGGCTGTGAGGGAGATGTTTATTTTGTTTTCTGAAAGTGAAGTACCATTGCGAGTGTGGTCACACACTTCAAATACCGAGGCTGAACCATTAACAGTGCTTCTAGTTCCATGGTAAACTCTGCAGTCTGCAGTCAGCTAAAGCATTATGGAATCCTGTTAGTCTTTGTTATTTTGACTCAGGATCCTGCCTTTAGCAACAAAAATAGCATTGAGCTAGTTTCATATAGCAAAATTCAAAATTAGATACTTCATCTAGCATACAAGTTCTTACTGGCTTGAAAAGGAAGTAGATTGGAGTAGATTCATGGGTGCCAGAGGAAAAAGCTACGGAGATCCGGTATTAAAAGTCCTTGTTTATTCACCTTTCACATAGCACGTTTTGAAGCTTAATTAACATTTGCAAATGCTAGAAGATTATCAGTAGATTCACTAAGCAGTATTTCCTGATACTCTACTGCTTCCGAACACTGGAGAGCCATTAGAGCAGCAGTTTCTAGCTGAGAAAAGTTGATTTAAGTTGCTGTCACATTTTCTTATACAGTTTAGAGTGATTAAAGTTGTTTTTTGATGTTGCAGTCATACTCTTGATTTGTTTCTTTCAGCCTAGTACTGTTTTCTGTCTTGTACTGACACTTCTGTTTGTCTGACTGTATGTGCCACAAGCCTGGTTAAGTATCTTAAGCCAGCAGGTAATGTAACAGTCCTGATAAAGGAAAATAGTAAGAAAGATCTCAGGAGCTGAGCACCCCAAGCCAGTTTGCCACACAGATGGATGTGTACCAGTGCTGAGCAGAGGAAGGAAGTGTGAATACGAGGCTGAGAGGTACAGTGGTGGAGGCTGCAGCAATGCCAATTTAAATAGGGTTGAGCTGTGGTGAAACCACAGCTGTGTCTGTTTCTGCAGTTCAATCTTCAGTGCAGATTTAAGCTGTCTCTTCTTTCATTTCCTTCTCTTGCTTTTGTCTGGGAGAGGACCCAAAAAAAGAATGTGTGTTATGCAGGGAGGCAGGGGTTAAGGGGAAGCAGGCATTCAGCTTGAGTAGTGTGCCATGCAGCAGCATGAACAGCTGTAATGCCTCAAATACCAAGAATGACATGGGAACTTGCAGCCAGATCACTTCCACAGGCTCTTCTGTAGCACGTTTGCGGGAGTGCTTCAGCTAGTACAACACTGTACTTGCATAAGATCCTGGATGAGAAGGGAGGGGGTTCAGGCTGCTGGGGGCAATTCAAACATTTGTATTGCTGACTATGGGAAATACCTATCTTAAGGTGAAACTGAGACTAATGTTTCATGAGCAATTGATTCAACATAACAGCTGTTGAAAGGAGGAGATGAGGAGATCTCACTGTCTTCACCTTGTTCTTAGCTGTGCAGCCTTATGTTTCCTCTGGCCGCTTCTCTCTTTGATGTGACCTAGACGGGGGCTATACTGAGGTTAAATAACTAATAAGTTATCTAACAAGAAAAATTTATTCCAGTAGGTTTATTGCATATCTGAAGCTTCAGTTAGGCACACATTTTTACACATAAGTGGGAACTACTTTTGGTGATGACATATATTTTTTAGTATCTTATATATTTGTAAGAAAATTGTTCCTTTTTTTTTAGTTCTTCTTTTTTTAGTGGTAGAGTGGGGAGGGGAGGGATGGCATGTATTGACCTTTATCAGTGGAAACTGTTCCAAAGTAAGAACAAGAGGTCTTTCCTGTGCGAAAGAGAAAGGTATGTAAGTACAGCTGTTTATGACTCTTGGTTATCTTTGCTGAGTTTCACCAGAAGAGATTCTTTAGATTCAGGGTGTTTTAGAGGATAAATTCATGTGAACTTAAAGCTCTCTTTGTTGATAAGATCATTATTTATAAGCTAATATGTTTAAAGTAGGTATGTGGGATTTTGGGGTTTTGTTTTTAATTCTGGTATTAAGGTCTGACAAGGGGAGAACTGGAATTGTTTGTTAGCAGTAGGAAACCTCTGGATAGTATTAGTTTTCATTACTGACTTGTGAAGGTTTTCTTGTAGGCATAGGAAGACTTATAATCAAGCATTAGGTATTGTAAGTATGTTAAGACCTGAAGCTGTTTCAGTCCAGTGTTCCAACTAGTTTTTCTTGTGACTAGTTCTAGGAGTTCTAGGAATTTGGAACCTTTCCAGAAATGTGTGTTGCTTCATTTTCAAGGAGAGGCAGCTGAACTATGATGTGAGGCATCCCTGCCCATGGCAGGGGGGGTTTGAACTAGATGATCTTAAGGTCCTTTCCAACCCAAACCATTCTATGATTCTATGTGAAGCACCAAACCCTTAAGAGCCAGAATGGACAGGTGATACTTACCTGTTTTAGAGCCCGTACAAACTAATGTTGATTGTTTTGATGCTGTAGAAGGCATAATTCTACTACAGCAAAATTTTCTCGGTGTTGTCAGTATTGGTTGCTTTCATTTTCTGGAAACTTTGTGATGAAATATTAGTGGAAAGAGGGCCAGATGCTAAAGGGGAAAATAGATTTTGGAGCCAGGACTTCTCAAGTTCTGCATTCTATTTATGGTAGCTGGGAAAGTGTGGTGCAGATTGGGAGTGACAGTGTTTTGGTTAGAAAGGTTAGGCACAGGCTACTTGTTTCATAACTCTCTTCCTTTGAGTGATGGATAGAGATGGTAATCTGCAATTGTGGGCAGACTCTGTGTGTACTAAAGAAAGGTACTGCTCTTTAATGAAGCTCTAAGACCTTACTTTGAAATAACAAATGTCAGTTTACGGAAGGGCTAGAAAGGGGAATAACATCTTAAAATAACATTTTTAAGAGTACCTCATGTTCTTAACTTGATGCCAGACTCTGAGCTGCAATGAATGAGATTAATAACAAAGTAAGGCCAGGAGTTGGAAATAAGGCAAGAATATTAATGGCAGAGGTGTTTTATGCCATCTTTTAAAAGGCATTTAGTGTTAAGAACCACGTTTAAGGAAAGCTTTCTTAAACCAGAGTTGATAAGTTTGGCTTTATATTACCGTATTGCCAGGATCTATCTTTTAAAATGTGTAGCTAATTTTCCACCTTGATTTGAGAATACATTTACTAGATGCAGTTTAAAGGAAAAATTACATGTTCTGTTACTCTTAGCAGACCAGTTACAGACATAGCAGAGATAAGGAGTTTAGACATAACGGAAGTTGTGTTCCAGAAACAATCTGAGGTCAAGAGTATGTGTCTCAACAGTTTTCTGTGGCATAAATCCAAGAAGCAGCTTTCAAGAATTAAGATGATTTAATAGTAGCTACTTGACTCTCGCACTACTCTGTTGCAGGTGTAAGTAGTGTTTACATTTCAAGTGACCCTGTGATACCTTGATGGATTAGAGCCTTATTTTTCTTTAAGAAAACAGCAGTGCTTTTCAATTAATCTTAGTTGATAAGCACAAGTAATTAATCATGCATTTGTTTATTCTCTAGAAGTGGAAATTATATATTTAACTGGAAGACTTATTTTGCAAGTGTTTTGCAGTTTCATGTGTTACGAGTAGTTAGAAATAGTTTCAGTGTTATGAAAGGGCTTTGGAGAACTAAGAGAACTTAAGTGTTGCCTGGTGGTAGAATTTATGTTTTTAATTTTAGGTTTATTATTTTATTTTCTGTTTTGAGGTGTCAGGTTTACGATTCTACCCTTCAGAAGCATCTAAATTGCAGCTGTTAAAAACTCCAGTAATAGTTCTGTAAATCTTATTAAGTTGTATCTTTTTATGTGGTCAAAAAGTTGAAAAATATGTAACTAATTCTGAAAACAAAGGTAATTTGGGATGGTCATTAATAATTCTTGCAGACCACCTCTCATCCAGTGAATTGGAAAGATGATCTTGCTTGCTGCTTGGTTTGAGTTGAATTGAGAGCAAGCAAAACCATGTGTGTTTGGTTACAGCAGTTAGTGAGGTATATGAGACATGCTCCGAGTCATATGCAACTTCAACACAATGTTCACTTGCACCAGTTGTGCTGATAGCTGGTGCAGGATAAATTGTTTTGTCCTTATCGTTCAGAAACAAATGTTACCTGTGGTCAGCCCTTCTCTAGAAGTCGCAAAAATTGAGGATGTTTTCCTTGTATGATTTTTTAATGCAATCTTGATTAAGTATTTGGAATTAGGCTGCACTGCTACACCTTCATCACCTGTGTTGAAAATTTAGTTATTATTGTGTTTTGCTATGGAAATCCTGCATTATACAGTTCGGGACTTCATGTCCTATTAATTTCACAGAGTTTTCACAGAATCATTAGGGTTGGAAGGGTCCTTTGGAGATCATCTAGTCCAACTCCCCAAACTCAATAGGGCACCCAAAGTGTCTAGACACAGTTTTCAGTATTGGTGTGCTGTAGGTTTTGGGGCAGGGGGTTATTTCTGATTTCTAGAACATTGTTTTTGGAAGTTGCTTCTGATTCTGCCCAACACAGTACTTAGAAATTACTATAAATTTTGAATTCTTACTTGCATGTTAAATTACTTGCAAATTACTGGAAGGACGTACTGTAAGCTCCTGTCAAGTGAAGCTTAGTAGAAGTTACTTGAGGTAAGAGATTTTTAACGTTTTTACATTGTAAGACATTATGGTGGTAACCTAACAATAGCTGAGTATAAAAAGCGTAGACTATTGCACCCCAAA